TCAAACTGTCCCTAATTCTGGAAACTTTTCTGTAATATATTCCTTGGTGGCTATACTCAACAATTCCACATCAGGTAAAGGGTTTTTCCCATTTCTTTCATCTATAAAACTTATTTACAGGTGGTGATACAATTATACATTTTAGTTAAAGGAAACTACTAGGAAATAGAAAAGCCTTGCCATGGGCAGGGTTATCTGTCACCAGATCAGTCTGCACAAGTCTTCATCCTGCCTGGCCTTTGATGCCTCCAGTAATGGGGCATCCACAGCTTCTCTGTGCAGGGGTTTGGAACTAGACGATCTTTAAGATCCCCTCTAATCTAAGCCATTCTATGATTTTATGATAAAAACAGTGCACTTCATTCTCTTAGATCCAACAGACATATTAAAATAAAAACAAACCTTTTGTATTGCAGGTTTTGATTGGACTCTACTTGCCAGAATTTGTGAGTCCACCAGCTTCCTTTCTTGCTTGGATATCCACATTTTTGTCGAAGAATCTATGTATTTTTAAAGGTATAGCAATGAAGTGACATTTCTCTCTGGCTCAGCCTCTGTGACAACACAATACAGAATTGGGAGCACTGTGAATTCTCTCTCTGATTGGCGAAGAGGTGGACTTGCAGCTAAGTGGTGACTAGAGACAAAACCGTAACAACCTTGTAAAGGCCTCAGAACACTGTACTGTACCAACCTTGTGAAAGGTGCAGACCAAACACATGCAGTGCCCAAGTACAATGGAGAAGCCAGGAAGTAGAGACCTTGCTTACGTGGTCTCAGGTCCCCACCCCCCACAGCCATGACCCTCCATGACCACCATATGAAGGGAGAAACATGGCTGGTATGTGCACAGTGCCTGAGGGCAAACACTCTAATCCCAGCAATAGCTCCTGGGCCAATTGAAGGGAACCATGCTATGGCATAAAAGGCATTGCCAAACCCACAGCCAGCTGTGCTCATCCCACCACATCCTCAACCATCCCAGGAGGAGAAGACCTCTTCTTCTCTCCGCTCCACTTCCCCTTAAGCTTTCCTTCCCTTTCTCTCCCATCCTTTCCCCTTCCTTCTCTCCTTCCTTTTCTTCTCTCTTGTTTTCCCTCTCTTGCTTGCCTCTCTTTTAATAAATAAAAGTAATTCCTTGTTTAATCAACATCTTGACTCCATTCTGAGTCCAAATTCAGAGGGACTAGGATTAACATAATGAACTGCAAGCTGCTTTGGCTTGCAACAAAAGAAACACGAAAACTGAAAGTTAGATTACACCAATGTATTCTAATACATCCATAGTATGTATGGAGAAGGAGTATGAACATGAGAGTGAATTTAATTACACAGTAGTTTATTACATACTAACACTTCCTCATTCCTCCCCAGCAGCCAGGGCCAGCACCTTTTCAGATACATGCACACCTCTCTGGTTTATATACCAACAGGACAAAGTAAGAAGGACCATTCATCTTTCTCACTTCAGGTTTTTTGCAGGACTGCCTGTGGTGATACAGGTGAAGTACAGGCTGTCCTGCTGCCAGTGCACCCAGCTGTGATCATGCATCTCCCTTAAATCTCATCCCTGCTACTGGAGGGAGAGGCTGCCCCAGAAGGAGCTGTGCTCACTCCTGCCAACAGCACCCAGCAGTGCGTACTCTGCACCTCTGCCTTTTGCGGCTGGGACAAGCTTTCTGCAGGGCATCCCTCACACTCTACCCTTCGGCCAGCATAAGGAAAGTTCCTGGGCTGCAAGAGCAGGCAGCAGCAGACTTGCTCTGGGATGCATATTCTTCCTCTATCAGCAAAACTCAGTCTCCTCTACATACTGAGCTAGCCCAGGTTGTGAAAAAGGCAGGTGCCGCTGTAGCAAAGTGGGTGCTGGATTGTCCATTCTTACCTGGTCCAGTAAAAGTTGAAAGCAGCATGTTTGTAAGAGCATGCTTTCATGGGGGAAGCATGAGACATCATTATATTGCTTTAAATCCCATTAAAAATCAGAGATGGACACTACTTACTTTTTAGATTTGACAAGATAAAGAGAACACATGTAAATTCTCATCCAAATAACATGCAAAACACTCTGTTACCAGTTAGAACTGGCAGCATGCACTCACAGCAACTTCAAACCTATCTATTTAAGTAGGGTGTTCTGAAAGTAATGTCTCCTTTTTATTTCCATGGAAAATACAACAGGTACAAAGAGCACAATAACATTGTTTGATAGAGCAAATTCTCAGTTACAAAACACTTTTTTTTCCAACATAGGTACCACCATTAGCTCTGCATTTCCATCAGCAATGAACAATTGCATGCTGAGCTTGCTTGTAGCGATCTGCACTAGCAAAGGTGACCCACTGTCACTGTTGCCACAACTGAAATTCATCACCCTTTGCCTCACTGTTTGGCCTTCAGAAATGTTCAGCAAGTGTTAACGAATGTTGGTGGGCATCATTTTTTCAATGTGGAGGTAATCTGTGATACATTTTTGCTCAATACATGCTTCCATTCTGTCAGAGTGCCCCTCTGCTGCCATCAGTCACACGGTAACAACATGTATTGGGAAACTGGTGGGAAGGTTCCACCTCTACTGCCATAGCACCAACATCTGCCTCTGAAGTTGGTGGCCAAAACAATAAAATAGGAAGCATTACTTTTGGAGCAAATCTCATAGATCAAACCTGTATTTGAACACCCCCAGAATTCTTTCCCATACCTCAGAAAATCTAAAGAAAAACAGCACTCTGAACCACTTGCACTTTTGTTTTGCTTTAATCATCTCCCCGTGCTTTCGATCTGTGGGTGGTCACAGTGTGCTGTCCAAGCAGCTCCTACACACACTTTAAATAAAAGCCGTGTGCGTAGATCTGCTGGAACTGGTTACCCGTGGTAACTCATGAAAGGGAATGCCCTTTTTCCTGCAGCCCACCCCTCCACCCAATTCTTTGTTCCTGTGACATGTGTGCTCTCACAGACTGTACTGTGAAGTCCTGAAGCTGCAGCCGTAATGCAGTCCTACCCAGCAGCACATAAACCTCCTCTTGGAGGGGGCTGAAGCACTGACATGAATGTTTAGGTTTGGGGATGGATCCTTACACCACATTTGTAGGAGAGCGATGTCCTACTACTCTTCCCAGAGAGTCGCAGAACTACAGAACAGCTTCACTCTTCTGTGTATCTGAACATGGAATCTAGCAAGTAGAGACATTTAATGTAGAAGTACACCAGCTTTTCTCCCAGGTCCATTGCTAGCCATGTGCTTGATGTCTTCAACTCTTCCATAGCAAGGGAGTAGATAACAGCCAATTGTATGAGGCTGATTTTAATAACTCTTACATGGTTGTTCACAAATGAATTGGAGATGAAATAAATACCTCTGCAATATATCTTAGGTCAGGCAAATGACAATTAGATTTCAATGTTAAGAAAAAAACTCTTAAAAATCAAACATTATCCCAGCATTGGCTGTGCATTACGTGATTGACTGATGTAGATCACAGAATCACAGAATGGAAGGGACTTCAAGGATCACCAGGTTCCAACCCTGATGACACAGGCAGGGCCACCAACTTCCAGATCTGGCACTAGACCAGACTGCCCAAGGCCCTATCCAACCTGTCCTTGAACTCCTCCAGGGATGGAGCATCCACAGCCTCTCTGGGCAGCTGTTCCAGCACCTCACCACTCTCTCTGTGAGGAACTTCCCCCAACATCCAATCGGAACCTTCCCTCCTTGAGCTTAACAGCATTCCACTTTGTCCTATCACTTTCTACTCAAGTAAAAAGTTGATTCCTGTCTGGGAACTGCTGAATCACAGCTTGAATCTCTGGTTGATCAACTGAGACAAGCAGTGAGTCAGCCCTGGGAGCACAGGTGAGGGCAATTCACCTTTGCTGCTGGAAGGGGTGAAGCCTGGCTCCATATCTCCTTGACCCATTTAAGAGCTGACTAGCAGTGGGGAAGGATCTCTTTCTGGAGATCCCTCCTTTGGAGTTTTCCAGCAAGCCTAGGACAAGGGTAAGCACTCTCTTTTCTTTTTGGTATAATAACCTGCTTAGCCAAACTTGTTTGTTTATTTCACAATTATAACATCTGTATATTCATTGAGTATACAATTCACCAACTTGATTGAAACAGCACCCAGCAAACTCCTAATTCAGCAGTCACAAAGCTAACATAGGGAAGGATTTGTGGGAGATCTTCCTCACCTCTGGAGGAAACTGTAAAAACAATGAGATTTAGCTATTGTTTGTTCCATTTATTGGAGGCTTCTACTCCACTACTGTGTGAAATCTATGGCAATGTGAATATGCTCTGTAAAAATTTGCCAATTAAACAGCACTTCATTCCACGTGCAGCCCTGTGCTCATCATAAAGCACAGTTTAGTCACATTTCCACGACATGAACCACATTCCACTCTGTTTCAAAGGATGTTAAGAGAGCAGTTTCCTGTGCAGCACTCACTGCAAAGCACTTCAGAACCCATTTACACAGTTTGTAAACCAAGAGAGCGAGAAAGGACAGCGAGGCAAGCAGTTGTGGCATGCTTTGGAAAGGTGCAGCTGTTGGCAAGTGGGAAACTGGAAAACAGTTCACATTCCACATGCCTGCAGGAAAACATTTTATCACATTGCATGTGTGCATAAAGATTGTGATATTTATTTATTAGTTTTACAGAATCATTAGTTAAAAAGAAATGTAGTTTCATAGTCCAAACTAATTGCTGGAGGAAGGGAGCTGACAGAAAGCTTTCCAGGATTGTCATTAGTAAAAATTTCACCAGGAGTAGTTTCTGGGATGCAAGTAAGTATCCTGTGAAAAGGCTCTGAATCAAGTCTGTCAAATGCAAACTCCAAACACAACCAGCAACACTGCCTGCAATAGGCAGAGTTAAAACAACTACAGCTTGTGATTCACACACAGATGCAAGCAGATTACTTATTACTTCTCTCTCTTACTATCTCAGCTATAAGAAACACGCTGAGAGAAGCCGGACAGTTTCGTGGTACTTACAGTCCTTAAACACCAGGGTAGGGTCTCTGTGAGGCAGGACTTGGGCAATCACCAGCTGCAAAGACTCCAGGGTTCTGTCCATCTCCGTCCTGCTTTGCCAGACAGCGGCCACCAACAGTCCTCATGCCCGAGTGAGCCGAGCTCAGCCTTCTTGCAGCAGCTCATTGATGCACCGGGCTCCTGAGGAGTCTCCCCTCGTCTCCCAATCAGGCACTGCCTCAAACTCCAAGGCACTCCAAGGGCCCACCTCCCCGTGCGCGGCGCTGAGGAGCTGCAAAGCAGGCTGGCACGCTCAGTGCGCGGTTTCCTCCTGCGAAGCGCGCCCGTCGGCGGGCAGGGGGGAGAGACCTGCGACCTTTCGCCTGGGTGGGGACCGTGTGTTGGAGCTAAGACCGCTCAGGTTTATTTCAAGTGAAGGAGAAAACCTCTTCGCTTCCCCCAGACTCTCAAATTGTAGAAGATTGAAGATACGCTGCTTCATTAAGTTGTAAAGCTGCTCCACACGCAGTACTGTGGAAGAAGCAGATTTTTGCTGAGAAATAACAGCAGCAAACTGGAAGTATGTTCTTTTTCCTTTAGTCCTGTAGCAGGGATGGGACTTCGATATTAACAGCAAGAGGAAAATAAATTGAAACAGCAAAATTAAACTTGTGTTGTGTTAACTGAATTTGAATCTTTTTTCCTCGCTCCCTACACAGTGTGTATTAGAATGACAGTGTGTTAAACTACTAACATGTAAGAGAAAAGTGCAGTGGCCTCAACAAGCGCTCCGTCAGGACAGACACAGATGCAGTGGTGAAAGCTTGAAGTACAAACGTACACACGGTGCTGCCCAGCACATCTGTGTAACAGCCACAAGCTGCACCAATCAGGGCTGCACTGCCAGTACAAAGCGCTCTTATTTCAGTTCCTGTAAAGTCTTCCTGGTTTGGGAAAAAGACATACGAGAGTGTTCTTTAATTACTATAGTCCTTCCTTCCATGTTCCCAAACAACTTTTATCTTTTTTTAGGATGGAAAACTGCAACACAAACTTGTATCTCTTCTAACACCTACCATTGCATATAACAGGTGCATTGTACAGTGTGTATCCACTCCCTATCTTCAAATTTTGCCCACAAGATAATGAACCACCATGACTACTAAAATACATTGAACAGGTTTTGTTACAACCCACGTTCCTTGCTGCTGAGCTGTAATGCTGCTGTCCTAACCACTGCATTTCCTTAAGTCCACTCTAAATAGCACTCTGAAGTTTACTGTGTGCAAACGTTGCTGTGACCTTCAGTGACTTCAGATATTTCAGGAATTCTGCTGCTTTAAAAAATAGAAAAAAAAAAAAAAAAAAAAAAGCTTAATAAAGATATATTAAGTGGTAACCACGAGGCTGTTCCTTCCTCACTAACTCCAGCAAAAGGAAATGATAACTTACAGCCATCCATTAGAGTACTTTTAAAACAGTTAATGGATGTTTTAAAGGAACACTGTGAAAACAAACAGCAAAGATTTCCATCACCGCTTCTGTTCTGTGGAGCTGAATCAAGCGGGACAGCCTTTGTGTATTTTTGGAACCCATTACCAACACAGACTTAAGGTCACGCATCAGAAAGAACTCATTCGCTGTGAAAAGTTCAGACTTATAAGCCAAGAAGTGCACACACATCTTAGGCAAAGAACTGCAACTGAAATACCGTTGTCACTGAAGCAACCTCTTAATAGATAACAGCCTAGAAACATACAAGGATGTTTTTTCCTCTGGATGTTTGAAATAGAAATGTAATTAAATTAACTTGGGTCACATTTCTGCTCCAGATAAAATGAGTTCTATCTGGATCAGAAAATAGGATTGTGTATCTTGATTGCAATCACTTATATCTACGACTTAATTGGACTTCCTTCTGTCAGCAGGCTTTCCCACAGCTGCGATGCTTCAGGTAGCATTTATCTCTTGCATCTTGTCACTGGCCTGCCATGGCTTTAAGGACATGTACAGATGCTGGCAATACTAGCTTTTGTATTGTAACATAGCTAGTAGCTTTCAAATCAGGAGCATGCTTCAAGACAGAACAAAGCTTATGGTTCTTCAATTAACTACAAGCTGAATATCAGGTAGAAGGGGTAGAACAGATAACATCAGATGTGTGCACATAACATCTAAAGTATCATTCAAATTCCTGATTTCCCCCTGGCAAATAGAAGATGTATGATGTTGGAAACTACAGACTGATAACTTAAACTTCACCAAGTTATCCTTCTGCAGAAAGGCTACAACTCATATCTTAAGTGCAGATACATCAAAGCATTTGATCTTTTAGGCCTTCAGAGCCCCAGGATATAACATAAAAGATATGGTAATATTTTTGAAAAGAGAAGTTCACGGTTCTCATTGCTATATGTAAGTTACTAAAGAAATTAAATTTACTGGTAACTGCACAGGTACATCTGAAACCCAAGTGACTGCCATATCCATAAAGCACTTGTTACACTTCTTTCTGGGCAAGATTTTTTATGTGAGACTTCTTAGAATGAAAGTTAAAAAAAGAGTTGATAAAGAATTCAAAGAATGAATAGCGTTATATTGTTTGATGGTGTTTGCTCACGGTCACAAGAAATCTTATGGAATAGAAAAATCTAATGGGGTAGAAAAGAAAGGCCATTTGTTAGTATTTCCTTGTGATTTTTAATTAAGCCAAACGTTTATAACTAGGCAGCATTTTGCACTGAAACTTCATGTCATTGCAAAAACTAGCTCTAACCTTGAAGGAAGGGATATTTTAAAAAGGAATCCTCTGCACAGTGGAAGATTTTTAATCTATATAAACACAGTAAAATCAATTTAAAACAAGGTACTGTTGGCAATTTCTACAGTTAAAGGATCACATCTAGATTTAGCTTAAATTACAGTCAGTGGTTTTTAAACTAGAAACACAAAAGAAAATTTTCCAAACAAGACCATAGGAACAAGAATGATATTTATTTATTAGCTTTCAGAAGAACAGTGTTGTATAGAAGAGCTGTTGCTCCATTGTATAAAATGAGTATCTGTTATTAATAACATTCTTTCAACTGTATGTACTATTTGTTTCCTGATGTTTACAGTAGTTTCAATAAATTATCCCCAGAAACTAGCTGCATCCAAGCTTGACTTAATGTTGTACATATTTTCTCGACGCTGTTTGGTATAAATATTTGCCTCTCCTTTCTGCAGTCGTTGTCTAAGAGCAGACTTTTGTTGTTTTGTCAGCTGACGCTTTATCTTCTTTTTCACCATTTCCTGCAAAGAAAGAATTCAGTATCAGAACTTCTCTGAAAATCATTTAATACAAAGACACAGTACAATGATCCCTTATTTTCACTACTAACCAGGACATGCAGTGGGGATCCTAACTGGAAACCGCTGCATGACAACAAGCTGGTGATCCATGCCAGGGCTAACCCCAGTGTATCCAAAACTGCCCCTTGCAACCCTCAGCCACGTGCTGTTCTGCACAGATCCCTGGGCTTCATGGCAATCTCAGCCAGCTGTTTGTAACAGAGAAGCTAGCAGGCAGCCCCTGGTTCGTACCAGTGATTATGACTGCTGTGTAATTTCAGTTTTATCACTTTTATTTTCACTTAGACACTTTTATTTCAATAGAGTGGCAAGAAGTTCTCACAAAAACATCATTGTCTTTGATAGCAGAAATGATGAACAGAGGTGTTTCTTTCCCTGTGAGGCAGTCATATATGGTTTAATTGACTGAAAGGGGAGAACTTTTGTTACAGAAAATGTCCACGTGGTGGTTGTGTGGCTTGGAACTCCACTTTGATGCTACACTCACTGTTCAAGGCTCCAGCATCTAAAGGGGCATAAGATTATCTGTGCTATTATTTTCTTTTAGTGTTAGCTCTAATAACTAGCATTTTAAATGGTATCTTGCACAGTGATAAGTGCCTGAACTACAATGGATCAGTTAAAAAAAAAACAAAACATGACTACAGTAGTTTTAAGAAATGTCATGCTATTTTACCCTTTTGTTTTCATTCTGAGTTCTACTATGTATTGCATATGGCTAAAAGTATCCATAATAAAAAAAATCAATCCATAATTTAATAGTTACAGCTGTAGATTTGTCATTTGGAACATGAAGGCACAGAGCTGTCTCAGAGTGGTGCTGGGAGAGCTGCAGCCAGTGGGACTGCTCAGGGGTACCCATGTGAGGCAGGGGCACAGAGAGACTGACCTCTCTCAGTCAACAGGCAATATGTTGCATTAATCTTGTTTATGATGTATCTGTTTCACCTCACAATTTACCAACAAGGACTTTGGAAAATATTCCTCAAAAATTCCTGAGGAAAAGTTAACAGAATTAGTTAAAACTGGTCCACTAATGTTCTCATTCTGTCAGCAAAAAAGATGTCATTCTCTGCTTTGTATGGGTAAAGCCCTTAAAGGTGGCTTCTCTACTTCTCCTGCTGTAGTGAGCAGATGATTTTATTCACAGTTCAAGCAAGAAATCTTAAAACACAAGGTATACCAGGTATATTACACTATGATCTGTAATCATAGTGTAAATTTGCAAAATTCTACTGCTCAACCACAGCGTGCAAATCTCATTTGTGTAACCACCATCTTAAACTTCACTATAAGCAAAAACAGAAAAATTTCAGAGCAAACAAATTTACATTTTGCTGTTTTGCTGCTTTTGCTTTGGCATTCTCCCAGTTATGACTGTACCTACTGCTATTACCATATTGCTTATTTATGTCCGTAAGAATTCCTTCTCTGTGTTCAATCTGAAAATCTGGTTTAATATGTTTCTCCATGGAGAAAGCTATACAAACAACAGAAAAGTACTAGCATCAGTCACAGTGGATCCTACTGCAGTACCTTCGTTTGTTTTAGTTTTGTAATCATGTCCTCATGTTAGAAATAGCTCACTCATCTACATATCCTCCTCTTAGTTCTGCCGTTTACTTCTAGCATTCAAACTTTCAAATAAGATTTACCAACGGACAGAAACATCATTTTACTCAGTGCATGAGCATGCAAATGGAATTATTACGTAAGGTAAACTGGATAAACAGGATTTTTATGTAGCTGCATCTCTAGGAAGCCTCTTCTGCCAAAGTGCTCTTATGTTTCTTTTAGAAGAGAATATTAGGTACTTACATGCCATTTGAATATTTTCTAACAAAGTTCTAGGTGTCTGCTTACAGAATAAACACACACCCTCTAAACACTCAGAAAGGTTTCTAGAATTACAGCATGACCACTGCTTCCACCTAATGGTGAATAGAAATATAACAATTGAAATTTAAAGCAATCTTGCGAACTTTAGTTAGCAAACTGAGGAAAACAAACAAAAACCATACACAAAAATCCAACAGCTGAAAAAAAAACCACATCAGACTTCATGCACCAGAGATTAAAGAATTCCTGGCAGGTCATTCTGGCTCTTCTTTACCCCATTCCACAAATCAAATCTAATTCTTTGTCTCCTTAAGAAGATACAAAGCCACTCTACACAGTAAGAACTCGAATGACTTACAAACATGAAGCCCTGTACAAATGTCTTGAGACGACTTCCAGACATGCCGTTTCTTGATACATTTATTTACACATACAACTGTCCTTTTCTCCCTTTGAAGCTAGAATGTACTTCTTAAAACGTAATGGAAGAAGTCGTACTGACTAATGTATAGACTGTGGTTGAAAAAAAGACATTAAATTCTGCTGCAAAACCTCCTGATTTGTATAATGCTGAAAGTTAAATTCAAATTATTGGAGAAACCATTACTAAAATGAGCAGATATAAGTGTTTCAACAAAGCATGAAGAAATCTTTAAACAGAGCAGGTTAAATTTTCACATAAATATTCACTTCTAAAATACAAAAACATTAATTGTGGAACAGAATTCATTTCTAGTAAGGGAAATGAAAGAACAGATTGTATGACGTATACCTGCCACAAATTACAAATTACACAAAATTACTCAAGCATAGTAACAGGAAAAAGAGCAACCAATAGAGTAAAGTGCTGGATATAATTCACAAGTCAGCAATTAGAAAATTATCAGTACCATTTGTCTATGACCATGTAACTGCAAACCAGAGAGGTACATGGTTAGTAATCACTGAAAACCAAATAATTCTAGAAGGTATTTTACAAATACCTACTAACATCTATGTGAAATTTAAGATGGTCTCAGAGTGAACTAGATGATAATAATGCAATAACAACAGTAATAATTACCGGTGGAATGGTTGAACAGCTCCCAAGACTGCTGACTGATGTGGTCCTTGTTCTTGCCTTGTTCTCAGCAATATGAGGTATGTTATCTTCATTTCTGAAATATGTAAAGTAGTGTTTTATTCCACCTAGCAAAATTAACACCCTTTGTGTTCACAATAATCACATTTTAGTCATAACATTTTTGAGACATAATTTGAACTGCTAGCAGAACATCTAAGTACTACAGAACATTTCCATTGGAAACATTAACACTAACAGCTCAACACAGGCATTTATGACAGGAAGAAGTACTGCACAACAGGCACTTGTATACTGCACACATGAAAAGCAGCCTTTTATTACTACAGGACAGGACAACTGCTGCATCATACTTATGACTGGTACTGTACATGTAATGCCTCATTAGGAAATATATTAATGCACTGTTTTAAGAATAAATTTAATTCTTAGTTGGCACTTTGAACTATAGCGGTGAAGAGCAGTTGCTTTTGAACTACTTGTAAGATTTTCATTTACTGGGAGGCAGTGCAGGAAATACATGGTTATACAGTAAAAATATTTACCTGTAAGGCTTCAACTTCTTGTTCAAAGCTGACAAGTCAACCAGATCAGGACATTCATCATCTTCGTTTTCCTTGTCAATGCAGCACTCTCCTTGAGCTGTCTGATTTTCTGAGGTACCTTGGAGCATCTTTTCATGCTCAGAAAACACAGTTACACAACTCTCTGCATCTTCACTGGATTTACAATGCACAGGTTGCCCTTCAACCTTATTTATGGCAGAGCTCAACTCTGACAAACTCAGTTTTTGTAGATTTTCACTAGTTTCAGTGGTATCAGCCTCTTCATTGTGATACATTGCATCTTCAGAGGTGCTGCTTTCAGAATCCTCTTCCTGTATTAATTCTGCATTATCTTCCTGATTACTTCTGAAGAATTTGAGGATACTCTCATCAAATTCTTCAAATTCTGATACCTCTGCTGCATGATCATCCTCGTCAGAGCCCGATGGGCGAAGCAGTTCATCATCTTCCTGCATTTCTTTCGTATATCCACTGGCAGCAATCTCTATGTCAAGAGAACTTTCTCTTCTGAAAAAGAGCAATAAAAGAAGGTTTTCTTTCAATATGTTAAATCATCCTGCTATGGATGTGCCATAAAATACCATAAATTGTAATTACCATAGTATTAAAAAAGTGTTACTTTGTTGAAACATACAAGACAATGTTGGGCTTTGGTACTTAGCAGAATGTGGCTTAGCAGAAGCAAACTGCCACAGAAGATGACTCCATCTCTAAGATAGTAAGTATTTATAAGTATTTATTTACTTCAATAATTTCATTTTAACATAAACATAATCTGGTTTTAAATAATACTTGTTCAAACAGAAAAATAAAATGTGCACTGACACGTACTGATGAAAGTGCAATTGTCCCTTGAGCAAGAGCTCAGAATGACGTAAAAACCTACTAATTGCAACAGCTTCTCTCCCAAAGTACATGAAAAATTATTTTACTTTTCAAAAAAAAACAAACAATATTATAAATAAACTTCACAGAATCCTTTGAGTTGGAAGGGACGTCTGAGGTCCATCTTGTCCAACTCCCTTGCAACGAATGGGGACACCACAGCTACATCAGGTTGCCCAGCGCTTTATCCAGCCTCCCATTGAAAGTCTCCAGGGATGGGGCATCAATCACATTGGGCAACCTGTGCCAGTGCCTCACCACCCTAACTGTAAATAGTTTTTCCTTACGTCTAAACTTTGAAGATAATATTTGAAGATGTAGTCACCATGTTTACTACCATTCTGTAAAATAAATTTAAAATTAAAACATACATTAATACTCAATATGCCAGAACTGTTAAGGCTTTTAAGAGTGGAAGAAGCTGATTTTGCAGTACTGTAACATTTCCTATGTATTTACCGTTTGTATTAATGTTTTGCATTGATCTTTTTCCCTCAGCAGAAAGCAGAAAGGCAGAGGAGAAAGCAGACCATTTTAAGGCATTCATTAGCTTTTGGATACCATTTCACTAACTGACAGTGAAGAAAACAGGGAGCCTTCTTACTGTAAGAACAACAAAAACATTTCAAATTGCTTAATTTGGCTTTTCTCCCCTCCACAGTTCTCCTATAAACATCTCAAACAGGCATCAGCTCTTTCCATAAAGCCTACAGAAAACCAAAGATGGGGGAACCCAGATTTAGCTGGCATCTTCTACCTGATGTCTTTGAATTCTGGGAAGAGCTCACTCTCATAGTTGAAGCGTTTCTTAAAGAACTCCTTAATACAGTTAACATCTCTGTCAAAATACCTGTAAAAAACACAGAAATGCACAAAACCAAAAACCAAAGTAATAAGATCTATTGCAATGACAAGATTTTATTGTGTACTTTTTTATTACTCATTTTATTTGCAAGTTAATGACTTATTAGGCATCTAGAAAAAAAGCTAATTATCTAAATAGTATACAGTTTATTTCTAAGTATTCCTTAACCAAAATAAATCATTCTCTTTGAGGAGCAATTAATTATAAATATATCCTCGACATTTCCACTCATTCACAAATCAAACTATACTTATTATTTGGGGCACGTGATAAAAATGGTAGAAGTAGTAGCAGGTTATAAACATAAAGCATGGCTGACTGCTTTTATCAGAACTTAACTTACCTGTTTTGAAAATACCATAAACATTTTACTTACCATTCAGCATTTGGATGTGATGTTGATATCATTTGTGGAAAATCAATCATAGTGACATGGTCATCATTATCCAGTATAAGATTGAATTCATTGAAATCCCCATGAATCAAACCGTGATTGGCAAGTTTTACAATTAACTCCATTAATTCACTGTAGACAGAAGCAGGATCTTCCATTTGGCGCACCTGGCACCTGGAAATTTCAAATAAGATATCCTGAACCCTAAAGGACTTAATAACTATAGGTAAGATATACCAATTAAATCTCACGGAAGGAGAGAGTAATTCAAGTTAGGAAGGAGCTCCAGAGGTGTCTATTCTGATAACCACCTCAAACCTGGCTGAGCTCTGAAAACAGATATAAAGTTATCAGGAATTCCCATGATGGGGGTGAAAAGCTTCCAGGAATGGAGAAAGACTGTGCAAGCCTCTCTAGCTGCCCTGTGACACACTGTCGCACTGCCCTCACAGGGAGAAAGTTTCTCCTTATACTTAAGCTTTTCAACTTATACCAATTGCCCCTTGTCCTCTCATCAGTTCTTCTGCTGTACTGCAGTATTTAAATAATGCATCGGCAAATTTTTATGTACGGATTTTTTTTAGATAAGCCTAACTTCACAACAGGAAGTCCTGTACTGAAACAGGAGGTGACCTCATATTCAAATGCCTCATATTTTCATTCACAAAAACATATTTTCAAGACTAGGTTGGAAGGTAAGGTGAGGATCCAAAACATAAAAAGCTTAGAACACTCTAAAATACACAGCAGTGAAAACAAAGTACTGGAAATGGGCAAAATACACATCACCTTCTTTTAAACAGCATGAAGAGGCAGTTGTTTTATTATACAAAAACTGTTAAGGAGAAGCCAGAACTTAAAATTTTCTTGTGATGCGTGTTGGCCTGAATTCAACATTACAGTGTTACAAGAGCTTATCAGCTGCACAGCACTGAAAAGAAAGCACAAGGAAAGTCCAGCAGCTTTCAAACATGCTGCTGCTGCTGAACATCTTTGTACAGGTAGAAAAAATTAACTGGTAACATTTCTCATATGGTCAGGTCTTATATCATAAAATATACTCCTTGTTCTTTGAATCTGGAAATCATGTTAACTGGTATCTTCTGAGATTCTTGTTCATTTGAAATAATTTTCATCCAGCATCTCCTTCAGATTAAAACTGCAGAACAGGGTGAGCATGGTAAAACTCCACTGCAGATGCCCACATGAAACCATTTTAAAGGATGGATGTGGAATTATTTAACAAAAAAAGGGGATTCAGAATACATTGAAGGCACTTACTTAAAAGGCACTTATTCCATGTTTCTCTTCAACTGTTATACTTTGGGATAATCACTTTTTGATTAAGCTTCCTATTTTTGATATTCATTATCATATCAAAACATAGACTTTTTGTTCTAGCACGTGATGCTTTAAATCTCTGGGTAAGCACTTAAGCTATTCTACATTTTATAAAGTATCAAATACATTCAGCTATGCAAACAAACCATTCATTCACACACAATTTTTTTAAAAAAAATCATTGAAAGATTTTGCACAATTCAAGAAAAGTATTCCTCCTTATAAAAAAAGAGTATACACGACACAGCAAAAAGTATACGTGTAAACAGAGCAACCTCTCCTCACTCTCCCTTCCCCCTTATATTTTTAAACACAAGCTCTCGATTTGAAAACTGTAATCTTTCTAAATTGCCACAGCATGCATCATGAACTTGATCTCAGAACGCAGAGGAAATATAACTCAATATGAACATAATAGAATATGCTATTTCTGCACAGAAATCAGTTGTAACACTAACATCTGCATCACATTGCCCTTTCAGTGTATTGCATACTTTAAATAAATTAAGTCTACTTCACTAGTTTCTTTGAACAAATAATACTGCAGGCCAAGCAGCTTTACTATGGTCAGAATTCACTCACATGATAAGGAAAAATGCAATCCCTGCTGCCTTACTGAACTTACAATTGTTAGGTTTCTGTGAAACAGAGAAGTCAAGCTTCAGTACTTACAAAGGATAGCCATCAAGGAGCTCCATAATAACTGCATGTCTGTTGTAGTCTACAGGCTTTGGAACAGGAAATTTTCTGTCATACAAAGCCTGAAAGAGTTAACACATTAAAAAATAAAAAGAAAACTGTTAAGAAAACAGTGTGTGTACTACAAACTCCAATCTAAGATAAACACAAAATCTTAGGGTGGAAGCAGCATTCTGCAGGTTACTCAGATGCCTTCATTGAGATTTTCAGACAGACAACATAAAGTTGTATAGTAATAATAACATTCAACTGAAATCCTCTTGGATTTCAGGAGGAAAACTTGCTTCAGTTTTGTACGACTTTTGTTGCAAGGCTTCATTATATTACCAGACACTACATAAGAATACAAAACTGATGTTCTCTGAAATGCATAATTTAAGTCCACTAGGAAAATAAGCATAAATTCTACTAGTACTGCAAATACAAAGTGATGAGAAGATAGCATGAGAAGTATCTTCCAGTCTATTCCACCACTGTTGATACTTTGCAAATGGCCTCCTACCTTCATGTAAGCAAACTCCTTCATTGCTGCTAACCGGGATAAATAAAGCCACGACATTTTATGCCTGTGCTTATGGTAATCACGCTTGTTTTTCAGACTGCGAAAAGAAGTTCTTCCAAGCCTGTGCAATTTCATTGCAAACTGTTGCTCATCTTCATTTGCAACGATATAAATATCTAGAAGAGAAACAGCAATACGAAATAAATACCTGACAAGTCTATAATGAAAAAGTATTTCTAGCATAGAAAGGTCTACGACACTTAGTCCAACAGTAAAGAAAGCTATATTTATATACTGTCTATTAGTGATCTGAGATGGAAGAAATTATTATTGAAGAGATTATGGCTCTCCATTAGCAGAAATACTGATGTTATCTGAAACATCTTTCATACCAGGAGGTAAAAGTAACTGAAATAGAACTGAGACAATTCAAGCTCCCTGGCTTCAGGTTCCTACAATCACAACAGACTGGTATTTTCCCAGGCCATCTGTACAGCGTGGAATTATAAACTTCCAAACAGGGAAATACAGGTCAGATGCCAAACTCCAGTGTTCCTAATAACACTCTGGAAAAGCTGCCTTCTTTCTACTGACTGGAGACAAATCCCAAGGGACCAACCTCTTAATTTCATTTCTACCATTTGCCTACGACAAGTCTCTTTCTTTAATGATGAGAGAGACATGCTGTGTTTCATTACATTACAACCTATACATAAGAGAAACCAAGACAGCACTCCAATAATTTTGATGGTATTTAACATTATTTTATTTTACAGGTGGAACAAAAAAACTGAAGTTATATTTTTGATAAAATATTTCAGAATTCTTCATGAAGCATGTGACATTTTGCATCTGTCAGCAAAACACCTTTTAAGAGATGAATCAAAATTTGGACAAAATGGTCAAACTGGAACAACACTCTTACAAAAAAAAAACCACCAACCAAATGCAGTCAAAAGCCTCATGAAGTGAGCCACAGATCTTGGTGTTTTACTGAGATGACTATCTAGAGATACATTTACCAAGTTTCTAGCAAAATACAAGCAAAAATACTGATACGTTTCCTTAAAAAAAAAAAAAAAAAATTAAAATGTTTTTTTGAATTACCTGATTCTTTGCCAACACCCATCTGATTTCCAACAGAACTGATGACTTGCCGGGAAGACAGAGTTTTCAAGGCAAGGTAATCATATCCTGCATTTGTTAACCGATAGCCCTGGACCACTAAATAAAAATAAATTATAAAACATTTTACTCCTTACTACAGACACGTTAGCTTCAAAAAAAAAAAGCCTAGTTTTAGTCAAGTTTCTTGTTCCAGCTTATGGTACAAAACACTCAAGTACTACATTTCCTCTTGGCTAGTATCAGCCAAATTTGATGGAATGTTTCAATTCCTGCAAGTCTTAGAAAAATTAACTGGATAAAAGATAGACATGTTATCAGCACCTCAACAGCACAAGCAATTATGATACTCCAAATGGCATGGAAGTGGCATTACTTTCAAAGATAATTACCTAGGAGATATAGCAGGGATATAGGATTGTTGTGAGGCTCTACACCAATCCTTAAAACTCTGAAGAATGGAGACCAAAAGGGAAGGAATTTCATGTAGACTCAAAAGTGAGATGAAACTACAAGGTTGAAGGAAATGGGCAAGGGCCTGCTACACTACTACTTGATACTTGGAAAGGAAAAAAAAATAGTAACAGTTCCTGCTGAAGTGCAGGTCATATGACTTTTGCAGTCTTTTCCATTTGTGCACTATGAAAAAACTGTAACACATTTGGGTTGATTTCTGCATGCACTTTTATATTACCTTATCCAATAGTTATTTCATATTTCCATGAATTTTGTAATGGAGTGAAGGAGATTTAACTGCTCTCCTTTTGTCTCTTTCCTGTCTATGAGATCTACTGGAATCAGCAGCTAAACAGACAGCATCATTATTTGTTGTTAAACAAATCCACGTTCCCAGGCTAGACAGCAGAGAAAATGAGAAAATGCTCCAGATGTCTGTGTGTGCCAAGCAATGGTACTATAGCATAAGAAGGGGTGAGAGGAGCCCAACACATACACCAAACTCACTTCTAGTTCGTTCGTAAGCCAGGAGCCTGTGTTTCCCCAGCTCTCTCAAAATTTTGTTACAACCACCATGCTTCAGGCTTGCGATAGAAGCAATTAAGCTGGCAGGAACTATTTCATGATTCTTCATTCCCATTTCCACCTAAAAGAGCAAATGAAAAACGGGTCTGTTAGCCAATGTTCAGCACCTGAATAGATCAGATCCTCCCCAAGTATAAAACCACTTTTCTCAGATGAGTAACTTAATTCTAACATCTTCACAAAATCACAGAATGGCCAGGAAGGAACCTCAAAGATCACAAATCTCAACCCCCGCCCCCCTCCCCCCAAACAGGCAGGGCCACCAACCTCCACACGTAACACCGGACCAGGCTGCCCGAGGCCCCACCCAACCTGGCTTTGAACACCTCCCGGGACGGGGCATCCACAGCTTCTCTGGGCAGCCTCACCGCTCTGCCTGTGAAGAACTTCCCTCTGACATCCAACCTACATCTTCCCTCCCTCAACTTAAAACCATTTCCCCTTATTCTGCACTTATCAACACTTTCAAAGAGCTGACTTCCCTGCTGTCTGTAGGCTCCCTTTAGGTACTGAAAGGCTGCAGTGAGGTCACCCCGCAACCTTCTTGTCTCCATGCTGAACAAGCTCACCTCCCTCAGCCTGCCTCTGTAGGGAGGAGGTGCTCCAGCCCCCTGATAATCTCTGCGGTTTTTCTCTGGACCCTCTCCAACATCTCTCTGCCTTTCTTGCATTGGGTGCTCTAAACTCGTAGAGTGCCAACCACAGATCGGCAGCCTGGCTGCTGTCTCAGGGACGTGTGGAGGAGCAGTTCTGCCAGCTCGGAGCGCTCCCTCCCGCACTCCTTGGGTGATCAAGGCGCCAGCGGGCAGCGTGCGCGGCCGCGCCAGGACGACAAGACTTCCCCGCCCGCCGCCCGCCTGCCCACTCACCGCTATCAGGACTCGGAAGTGCTCCTTGGACAGGTATCGCAGCATGACCACGTTCAGCTTCCCCATGGCGGCAGCTGCTCAACCCCCGGCCCGCACAGCAGCACGCCTCGGCCGCTCCTGCGCATGAGCAGAGCACGGAGCGCGCCTGCTCAGGGATGCGGCTTCTCTGGGTCCTGGCAGCTGCATAGACGCTCGTGTCCTCAGCTGAATCGTTGTGCGCTTAGCTGGCCGCTGAGTCGTGATCAGCTCAAAATCAGAACAGAAAAAGTCTCCTGTCCGAAACTGGTTCGACCACTTCCCGCGCTGTAAATGAGTTAATCCGATGGCACGTGTATCTGCCCAGACCGACTCTGTAGCGGAAACACACTTCCGGCTACAACCGCAGCTGCGCGCAGGCCGCGTGAGGCGATGCGTCGGGGGACTGCCCATGAACTGGAAGTCGAGGGAGGCTCCTCCTGAGCGCCTGCGCCCGAGAGGCTGTGACTTTCGCGGGTTCGAACCTTGGGGCGGCCGCTGTGTTGGTGAAGGGCAGCTTTTCCTGCGGGTTCCTTTCATTGCCCTGAGCGGGACTTGGGTTACAGGAGATGGAAGCGCATAAGGATACGATTCCTGCCGCGTGCTGCTAGGGGGCAGTACTTGGAACTAAAGCCCCTGCACTTCTATAAGCAGCGTCTGAGCCTCTGTGTTCCCTTGAAGGTGCATCTGCAGCTTCTGGCCTGGGCCTTGTCACTGCTCCCCAGCTTTCTCGGCGGAGGTGGAGGGCACTTGTGGCTTCCATACTTAGCAGAGGACAATTTGACCTGCCATTGCACTAGAAGGCTTACAGTTTGAAGTGTTGCATCTGTTTTCATGTAATAGTAAGGAGTCACTGGAGAACACTGCAAGAAATGCTAGATCTGCCATTACATAGGCGTGACCAAAACCAACCTAGATGTTGCAAACACAGTGATGTATGACCCCTTAAAATCTGTTTAAGTGGCCATTGGTAAATTAAAGTGTTTGTGAATGCTTAATTGTCCTGGAGATCAATCAGTCTGTAGGTAGCAGTCACCATAGGTTATTTCATCAAGCTTCTTTACGTCAAAATGACAGAAAACTGTTTCCTGGCAATGTTGGAATATTTTTTTCCCCTCCAAGTACTTCAAAGGAGAGCTGGTAGCCTAAACTCACATTTCACAAAATCACAGAATAACAGAATGGCCTAGGTTGGAAGGAACCTCAAGGATCATGAATCTCCAACCCCCAGACCTGTGGTCACCAACCTCCACAGGTAACACCAGACCAGGCTGCCCGAGGCCCCACCCAACCTTGTTCACCTCCCAGGACAGGCCATCCACAACCTCTCTGGCAGCCTCACCACTCTCTCTGTAAAGATCTTTTTTCCTGACATCCAATCTAAATCTTCCCTCCCTCAATTTAAAACCATTTCCCCTTATCCTGCTGTTATCTATCCTTTCAAAGAGCTGACTCCCCTCCTGTCTGTAGGCTCCCTTTATGTACTGAAAGGCTGCAATGCGGACACCCCACAGCCGTCTTTTCTCCATTCTGAACAAGCTCACCTCCCTCAGCCTGGCTCTGTAGGGAGAGGTGCTCCAGCCCCCTGATTATCTTTGTGGCTCTCTTCTGGACCTTCTCCAACAGCTCTCTCTCTTTCTTGTACTGGGTGCTCCAGACCTGCACTCAGTACTCCAAATTGGGCCTCACAAGAGCAGAGTAGAGAGGGACAATCACCTCCCTGTCCCTGCTGGCCACTCCTCTTCTGATGGAGCCCAGGATACCATTTGCTTTCTGAGCTGCAAGGGCACTGCTGGCTCATGTTCAGTTTTTCATCCATCAGGACCCCCAGGTCCTTCTCTGCAGGGCTGCTTTCAAGGACCGCTCCTTCCAGTTGTACAGATGCCTGGGACTCCTCCGGCCCAAGTGCAAAACATTGCACTTTGCCGTGTCAAACCTCATCAGGTTCACCCAGGCCCACCTTTCAAGCCTGTCGAGGTCCCTCTGCATGGCATCCCTTCCTTCAACCGTGTCGACTGCACTGCTCAGCTTGGTGTCATCAGCAAACTTGCTGAGGGTGCACTCAATTCCATCATCAATGTCATTGATAAAGATGTTAAAGAGCACCAGTCCCCTGACAGACCCCTGGGGGACACTGCTAAACAGGAAATGTTTTTACTGCTCTTGTAGCACTGTTCTGTATTGTATATTACCTTGCAATTATGAGAGTTCAGTTTATTCTGTAAAAATGATGAAAAATTAGTTATCCTGTCATTGTTTTTGTAGTAGGACATTGGTGAGTGTGTGATGAAGTTATTTCTGCCTTTCAATATATAAAAATGTCTATTAATGGGAATGTGTCTGAGTAAGAAGCAATGGCTTTAAGCTGAAATAGAGTATGTTGAGACTGGATATAAGTAGGAACTTTTTCACAGTGAGGGTGGTGAGACACTGGAATAGGTTGCCCAGGTAAGCTGTGGCAGCCTCACGTTTGGAAGTCAAGTTTGGCAGGGTTTCGAGCAAACTGATGTAGTTAAACATGTCCTTTCCCACAGCATAGGGGTTGGACTAGATGAACTTAAAGGGTCCCTTCTAACTCAATCCATTCTATGATTCTATGAAATAATTGTAGTTGATCAGCTTATGTTCTGTACCTGTGTTGGCTGGTACAGAACAATTTATTTAAGGTAGTTCTGCTTGATTCATTCTACATCTTTTCTCACAGACTTTTTGCTCCTTGCTCCTTGCTGAATACACGTTGTTTGTTACTGTCTGTCATTGAGCTGCCTTGCTGCAAATGTTGACTAGCATGAAGATGGACAGAACTGCCAACTAAAAGGTTCTTTGTACCTTACAGTGCTCAAATAGTCAAAACTAGTTGGTAACTGGTAGTCCGTGTGCTACATGGACTGGTGGCTGTAGTGTATGATCTACTGCCTTTGTGGGGGGCAGTTTTGTTTTTGAAAAGTGTAGACTAAATTAAAGTTGTTTTTTTGTTTGTTTGCTTGACTTTCCTTCCCTCCCACCCCTTATCCACTCCTGCAAGATGGCATGGCAAAGAGATTATCTTCTGATTGTTCATGTAGGTTCTCCTGTTATAAGGATTCTTTGGAGAAATAGAGAAAAGTAATATAATGTATGTGTGGAACATCTAATCGTTCTAATCAGTCTCAGTGCTCTGAACTATTGCTTTGTGAAAAACAAAATGTAATCAGGAGTCATTTAGCTGCATTTGTTTCCTCAATATTTGCAGTACATTTTCAAGAAAGCAGTAAAAGAGATGCAAAAGATGTGAAATGTTGTTTGCCCGTTAATTTGTGTGAGTAATTCTCTTGACTTCAAAGCATAGATTTGACGTGTTTGTTTTAGCTAGATTTTATTTTTAGTTTCTCCATGTTCTCACATCTCATGATGAAGAATAGTGCATCCTTAATTGCTCTCTGGTGTATCTTGAGCACACAGCCTTGAAAAATGAGGTAGTTTAATAAAATCTACTTGAAACACTGGGAACACATGACCATGTGAGTATCCAAGTGAGGTATTTCTCAGTGAAAAAAAGAGGACGTTTAACCTATTGTACAAATAACTAATTAGGAGAGTGGCTGTTTGAGTATACTCTTACTCTTGCTCACAGTAAGTCTGAGTATGAAATTATTGACTCTTTGTAAGAGTATGAGTCTGTCTCAGATATGAGCTACTGCAGCCTTGTATAGGATTCTAACTGCAGCAGATCTTCAGTTTGCTCTTAATAATAAGTGCTATTAATAATAATACTCTCAATAAAAAGTATAATACAACTTTTATAATAATGATACAAGTATTAGGAATACAATAATAATACAAGTGTTAGGAACTTGCATGCATGCTCCTTGAAAATTGAACTTGTAAACTAGTATGTTAATTTTTCAGCAGAACAGTTAAAAAATGAATCTTTCATAATGTTCATTAAGCTCCTTCTGACCATAAAGTCAGAAGATTAACCATGAAACTTCTCTGGAAGGAGTTTCAAAATAAACTTTTACTTAAACTTAAGTAACTGTTAAAAAGGGCTGTAAAAATTAAAATAAATTAAAAAAAAAATAGGATTACATTTGACTGGAAAGTATACTTTTAAGGTCTTGGTTGACATTAAAAAGAATATATACGGGAACATTATATTTTTTATATTTTTAAGCACTACAGCTTTCACCTATTTTATGTGTGTGTGTGTGTATGGGAATGATCAGCGTGGGAACAGAAAGAGCTGGGTGTTTGTAAAACTCTTGTAATGAATAGTAGAGTATATGCCCAGTGTACAAATGCTGCTCCTTCCCTTCTAAGGATAGTCTTATAAATCCCCCAAAGCGTTACTTGAAGGTAAGGTTTGAGCAGTGCAGTTCATACAGTGGGCTCTTTCATTGCAGTTTTAGGAAACTACTGTTCTCAAGATAAATATGAATGCTTAGCGATTTTGTTGCTGCAGGTATCTTATTACGAATAAAAATTAGTAAGAGCTCCTTAGGGATTAGGCTGTGGTAATGTTACAGTTTCTAGTTTAGGATACTGCTAAGGTGTCCGAATTTGTAGAAAAAGTGACTGCTGTGTGCAGAAGGAGCCCACAGTGGTGGTTGTATGCTACCTACATGCTGATACCTGGAATTTCAGACCAACATTTGGCACTTCTCAAGGAAATTTTTGGTCACATCATGAACCTTATTTGGTGGTCAAACAGTTGGTGGTCAAACAGGTCTTTCCATTAGAGTTGTAGCCTGTCCAATATGTGTGAGGTCTACCTGCGGCCTGTTTCATCTTTGACTGAACACAGCTTCCTGAAAGGCTGTTGAATCAGGATAACGGATACTTTCAGAGTTGATAATATAGGAACTTCAATTCAGTAGTGTAGAATGTATTGTGTAAGATAAATCTTTTACTTTTTTTTTTCTACCAAGTGCAAAGACAGTCTTGACATTGCTTTGCAATAATAGTGTGTTGTATTCAGAGACCAAAGCTTTGTTAGTATTACTGTTTCTCCAACTTTGAGGCAAAATGGATTCTGACTGTGGTCACAGAATAATTTTTTTTTGTGGAGCTGTGATCCCAACTTTAACCTTGTTGGTGTTCTGCATCTTCTTGTTTACATCAGTGTTTTGCTAACAGTATTCTTTT